TGGGCCTGGGGCTCGTGTCACCCGCGCAGCTGCGCGTGTTCCCGGTGCGCTGCGCCTCTCGCCAGCCCGCGGGGGGTGCCGACGGCTGCAGGGTCGAGGCCGAGCTCGAGACCAACCCTTTCTACGACCGCTACCGGGACAAGATCCAGCAGCTGCGCAGGTGCGGGCCCCCGAAGGCCGGCGGTGGGCCGGGAGGAGGGGCGGCGCTCGGCCGGCGTTTCTGCCGCGTCTGACTCATAAAGTGCAGAGTGTTTACAACGGCCCCGCGAGGTGGGCAGTGTTGCTGTCCCCCCTCGGCAGAGATGTATCTAGGCTCAGAGAGGCAAGATCATTTGCCTCATGTCACACAGCTAGTGTCAGAGCTGAGAGTGTCCGCAAAGCCCTGGCTTTTTCGCCGTTGTCTGCCTTTGTGCTTTAGTTCTCAAAGACTCTTAACAGCCCTTATGAAGCAGGCAGCTCCAAGACACCTGTCCTTTCAGAAATGGAAAAATGGAGCCTTTCTGAGAAGGGACTTGACTTCCTCAAGGTCACATACTGAATCAGCTGAGGCCTAGCCTAGAACTGGTGTTCACAAGCTCCTAGCTAGAGTCCTGAATGCAAAGAAGGGACATTGAAGGTGGGAGCAGGGCCTCAAAGAGTAGTGGTGTCACAGTTGGATCTTCAATAGAACCCTCTCATTAAGGTTAGAAAACTGAGAATCAGAGACACAAGAACACACTGCTGGTTGGGATTCATCTGTCTTGGAATCCAGGGTTCCTAACACTACCCCGCAGCTTCCAGATGAAAGGACCTGGAGATTAGAGGAAGCTGAGGTGAGTGGTTGGAGGTCATGGAAGGGTCTGAAGAGTTGAAGTGGAAAGAGCTGAAGGAGATCAAAGGTTAATTAAAGGGGCTTGGGAGAGAATCTGGCAGGGTGGGCAGGCAGTTGTCTTATGAAAGGAAACCAATGACTTGAACTATAACTTCATTGAATTCTGTCTCATCTCTACTTCAGCAACCTTAATTTACTCCTCCATCATCTTCACCTTGACTCTTGCTGTCATCTAGCTAGTCTTCCCTACTCCAGTCTTGGACCGCTCTGCCCCAGTCTATCTCACTACTGCTATAGTGACCTTTCTTTTTGAAAGAATAATGGAATAAATGAATGAATATTTTTGCTCTCCTTCCAAAAGCATTCAGATATACTCAAGTATTTGTCATCTTAAAACCCTTTTCTTGGCCTACATTTCTCTTGAGCTTTTTCATTGATTCCTTGCAGAAACAGGCATCTCAGGAGAGTTGTCTACTCATACTCTGAATATTTCACAACTCCTCTAGTTACTCATGAACAAATGAATGGCGAGTTTTACTCTCTTTCCCCACTAGATCATTCCCGTCAACATTTTCATGTACTGCTATGTGAGCTTTCCACTGACCTCTGGATACTGTCCATATTCCTTCATGTTCCTCACAAGGCTCTTATGCTGTGAGCCTTGTCTCCCTAACTTTATTACCAAAACTTCCTTTGGGCACTATGGTCTAGCACAATGGAATACAGGAATGGGATTGGGGAAGGATGTTCCAGGTAAGGGGAGCAGCAGGAGCAAAGGTACAGAGACACAAAACCACCTCAAACCATTTGGGAATGTTTGAGCAAATTGTCATCACATGCCCATAGCATTTTACAGTACTTATTTACATGTCTGTCCTTCGTAATAGATAGGAAGCTCCTTGAGGTGGGAACTCTGTCTTAATTATATTTGTATCCCCAGAGCCCAGCAAGGTAAACAACAGGCAAGGGACAACAAAGTTTGTTGAATGAATGAAAAAGAGAGGGGAAAAGGTAAATCCTAGAAGCAGCTGAGTGAGACAAGTTGGGGAGATAGGAGGGAAAGCTGTGTGGATACAAAAAGGAAAAGAGCGTGAGGTTGAGGTAGATGAAAAGGAAGATATGAAAGTAGGGCCCAAAAAAGTGTCAGTAGAACCTGAGCCAAGTTAAGGGAAGAGGCAAAACCGGGCCTGACCTTAGGACTGCCCAGGATCAAACACATAGGAAGATATGAGATTATCGTTGTTAATCCTCATCTGAGGATACTTTTTCCATTGCTTTTTCAGACAGAAGGAAAGGGAGGGAGGGAGGAGGAGGAGGGGAGAGAGAGAGGTCAACTGGTTGTGAGAGACATCATCTGGTTGCCTCTCATAGGCAGGCTGACCGGGGCAGGGAACACACCTGCAACCAAGGTATGTGCCCTTGACTGGGAATCAAACCTGTGACCCTTTGGTGTGTGGGCTGACACTAACCGCTTAGCAACACCTGCCAGAGCAATGAGATATTTTAAAAGGACTCACAGTCCTGATTGGTTAGTACTGGAGCATACTTACTAAAATGTGGGCTCTTAAGAATACCAGCCACAGATGTGATGTGAGCCAAAAGCAGGACAAGGCTGTATGCCCTGCTGACTCCATTCCACCCAAAAACTGGGTTTTTGCATCATACTCTACATTGGTGAGTTGGGAGGATTTGATCTAGCTTCAGGCCCACTATGTCTAGAGTGTGGACAAACTCGAGTGTGTCCAGAGAGCAGGTCCACAGTGAGGAAGGAAAGATTCACAAGTCACATATATGAAAAGCGGCCAAAAGAAAAAAAGAAGAAATTTTACCTAGAGAAGAGAAACTTAAGGGGTGAAATAATAGTGCTTTTCAAGTACTCATATAAAAGGAATTAGACATTTTCTCTTATTCCTGAGGGTGAAAGATAGAGAGAAATTTAGACTCAGAACATTTTAATAATAAAAGACGTCCAAGGCAGAAGTGCAAAGACTCCATTGCCTAAGCCACCCCTCACTGTCTACCCATTCATCATGGGAGGCCCAGGTGTGGCTGTGGACACTGGCAGCACCAACCCAGGTTCTGGCACTTGCAGCCCTGCCTAGGTAGTTGCCACAGCCCACTGGGCAGGACTTCTTGAGCCACTCTACACTGAGGAGCTGGCCCACTAGGGACGGAAAGAAGATGCATTCATGTACATGGCAGTGAAGGATGTGGTGTTTACTGTAACCTCTGGAAAGGAGTTTTATGGAAGAAGGGCCCCCTGCAGTGCCTTGACCAGCCAAGATTCCACCAGAGTGAGCAAGATGTGCTTGGATCTTGTAGATAACACCCATGACATTACAGGTCTTATGGCCGAGGAGCTGGAGTCTTCACCAAAGTGTATAGAGCCAAATATGACATCATTGGCTACACAGCCTGAAGAATTCTTAACAAGGACGGCAGCCCCAACCTGGACTTCAGGCCTGAAGACCAGCCCCATTTTGACATAAAGGAAAAATTCTGATGTTCTGTCTACAGGAACAGGTTTTTTGAGAGAGGGTCAGGGAGATACTCAGGTGCTAAATCTTCTGCAAAATAGGCTGCCTGGAGGCTCCGAACCACCTACATCTGAATAAACAGATGTTTAACCTGGGGAGAAGATGTCCAAGAACTAAATGTTCAAGTGAAAGCTTGACACCTAGTAGGAATGCTATTGAATTCCTGCCTGAGGAGGTGACCCAGAAAGATGACCTCAGAGTCCCCTTCCCATCTTGAGGATTTGAATTCCAGGTACCCAGAGTGTAAGTACCTGAGGGGCCAAGCTCTCCGTCACCCTAGGGAATACTCTGCAGGAGAAAAGGTTACACAGGCTTCTTGAAGATTAACAATAGTTGAATAACTAGACTTTTTCCACTTTTTGATTTGTAGGCCTGTACTCAGGCCTAACTAACTGAAAGCAAATCCTTCAGCCTCTGAATACTTGTGTCCCCTCTCTGTAGAAGTGGAACATGATTCTTTGTTCTTTCCAAATACGAAAAGGACCCAGTGGTTTAATTTTTGTTTTACCTTTGATCAGGTCTGACCCAGCTGCTTTTGAGTCCCGACTGGAGAAGCGCAGTGAGTTTCGGAAGCAGCCAGTGGGGCACTCCAGGCAAGGTGACTTTATCAAATGTGTGGAACAGAAGGTAAGACCTGTTCCTTTTTGTGTTGTTGGCTCACCGGTGCTCTACACACTCAAACCCGACCCATATCCTGAAAGTGGGCTCATTAATGGGGCAGCTGGATGACCAGAACATAGCCTCTCTCTACTCAGCTCAGTCTGATTCCATAAATGGAATCCTACTCTTTCTGGCAAATTACTGTGGTCATGTAGAGATAGAGGGATGGAAAAGGTAGTCGCTGTTCCCAGGGGTACGGTGAGTGATCAAAGTAAGGCACACATGGCAGTGGGCTGTAGACATCGTGGTGGGGGCAAAAAAGTGCTTAATAGCTGTTGTTATCCCTAAATAAGGATCAAAGCTGGGGAAAAGCATGCTGAAAGCTATGTATAGGAAAATCTGAGGCAGTGCTTTTCAGACTTTTTGACCATGACCCACAGTAAGAAATAAATTTTACATTGTTATTCAGTTCACAAATAAGTATATGATTGTAACCGAAACAAAATTTTTACAAAACAATACTTTTGCTACTTGCAATGTACTATTATTATTTATCTTATCTTTTTAAAAACTTTGGCCACTAAATTGATTTGAACCGATGATTTGAAAAATACTTATCTAGGGTGATGCACAGAACTAATTGGAGTGGGAGAAGCCAAAACCAGGGAGAATGTACCGTAGTCCAGGTGTGGGCTGTGTATATCTGAAATAAGGTAGTTACAGTGGGAAATTGGGATTCTACATTGTGTTTTAAAATGAGAAATGTTTCTTTTTCTTGGAGAATATTTTTTTGCTTTGGGTATCCTAAGTTTTAAGAGAATCCACTCAGTCTTTTAATACGTTGTTAATTAGAATAAGAGCAATAGTCAGTGGGTTAATCATTATAAGGTTGGGGAGCAAATTCAACCTCCTATGACAAACATAGTTTACAACTTTATGTGAACAAACAAATTTACTACAAATATTTTAACATATGTAATTCTTTGTAATAAAGTTATAGTGCCAATTATCTTTACTGTATTATAAACTTTCAATATTATATGGGAAAGCTCTTTGCCCCTTTTTGTAGACAGAGTTAGAAATTCAACTTTATGATAAGATGCAGAATAAGTAAAGGTTTCATTTATATTATGGCAACTCTTAGGTAAATATTTACTTACTGTCTTATCTAGCTACCCAGAGGAAGGCTAATTAATGGCTCCATTTCTGAAGCCTCTTCTTTACTTTGAGTTATTGGTTCCTATCACGTGAGATCTAACATCTCCTTTTGCAATAATTTTTTGTAATTCTCCCTTTTCTATCCTGAAATGTAGACATTATAACCCAACTATACACATAATTTCAGGGGGCAAACATCAATATAATGTCTAACTGTAATATAAAGGAAAGTATTTTTAAATAAAATACATATGTTAGTATGTGAGTTCTTAGGCACAACTATTCTTTGAGACCTAATGCAGTCATTAGACGCTTTCACCTACATGTGAAATCACTGTGAATACATAAGCAGCAAAAGCTGACTGGTGCAGGGGTGTTACGTTGGTAATTATAAAACCCCCAGACCATGAACAGTGTTGTAATCAGTGACCCTCATGAGATTCCACAATACAGCCTTCTCTCAAGTTACATAGTAGTTGCATTTCTGAAAAATTTAGTGTTTATTAAAGTTGTGTTTTTAAAAAAAGAGGGAGAGAAAGAAAACAGAGTTAGGTTCCAGGCCCTGGTAATTATAAAAAGGTTTTTCACCTGCAAGGATGTCTGACTAGACATTGAGCAGTTGTGCAGGATGAAGGAAAGTTCTTCGTTATGTAGAACTCATCTTTAAAATTGCAGCTCATTTAGCATCCCTGCCCCTCCCATAAATGCAGGTGTCACCATTCAGTCAATTATTGTGATAAAAAAATCCCACAGATTTCAAAATAATGTACTCATTTAAATTTCTTATGTGCTCTTGAGACTTAAGCACATAGTTTCAGTTATAATTTTAGTTACCTTCACTGGTTCTCAAGTGTACGTTTTTTTCACATTTTAACATCTTTGAAATTGTCTTAAAATTGATAATGAAATATAAGTATTGTGTTATTGTTTAATTGGCATCATTTTCTGATACATAAAATAATGGTGCTTAAGATCAGTGGTGTCTCTGATTAGATAAAATGCAATAAGCTTAAATTTTTTATTTCTGTAACTGAAAGTGGAAATGAAGAATGAACTGGAGGGACACTGTACAAAAAAAATACATCAGGCTTAGTGATTGAAAGGTGAAGGCAGTTGAGAAAATGGAGGGTTTTGTTTGTTTTGTTTTCACAATATACCTAAAGGTGAGTGGTAAGAAAATGAAATCAATTATCTTTTTTGGATAGTTTACATATGAAGGAAAGACTGCATTAGGATGCTGTCAGTGGACAGGGGTATGACCAGAAAGACCAGGGTATATCCAGTAGGTTTTTCTACACCAGGTTTTTGTCTAATTTGTGGGTAAGAATTCTATGGACATAATTTATGAAAGGTTTGGATTTATTAACACACAGAGTAATGAAATGCAGGGTTTTATGCAGAAAATGTTTTCCCTCTTCAGAATCCTAGGTGTAGCTTATACTCCTTCCCTCTGAAAGGCATGGTCTTGAACTGAGAGACTCAGTGGAAGACTCAGAACAACCCCTGCCCACTATCAGAAACAACTCAAAATAGGATTTCCTTACTATAGCCTTTATCAGAGATAATGGATTAAGAGAGAAAATAATCACTTTCAGTTGTTCTTGGCCTTTTTTGAGGGGAAGTCTAATTTGATGGAAGGAATATTAAGATTGAGTACTAAAGAAAAAATGCCCGGCCGGGCGTGGCTCAGCGGTTGAGTGACGACCTAGGATCCAGGCAATCGGGGTTCAATTCCCGGTCAGGGCACATGCCCAGGTTGTGGGCTCCATCCCCAGTTGGGGGCGTGCAGGAGGCGGCCGATCAGTGACTCTCTCATCATTGATGTTTCTGTCTCTCTGTCTCCCTCTCCTTTCCTCTCTCTGAAATCAATAAAGATATATTTTTTTTAAAAAAAGAAAAAACTATCGTCCTCTTAGGATGTCTCCCATCAGAAGTGCTGTCACAGATAGGAAGCACCTCCTCTGTGGCTCACTGTGGAGCAGATCAGAAGACAGAGCACAGAAAACCCAAGCAGGCCTCATTCTGGGAAGGAGTCCCATATATCTACAGTGGCAGGCATACCATGCATTCTCAGTACTAGTAGATACTGGTTACTAACAAAGAAATTCTTTCTCATCTCTATCTCAGAAGCCTAGTCAAGGAAAAGTTGCCTCACAAACAACAACTCTAAGAACAGTATGTACAGTTACTGTATGGAGTGGAGAGAAATGAGTTCTTAGGTAGAAATTTACTAAATGAGATATTAGGCACCTCATCTAGCTTAGTGGTCTTTTTCTTCTGAGTAAAATACAGATTAATATCCTGTCTATCATATATTTCAGGCAGACACTTTGGGGAAGCAGCCTATGAGCAGAGGATTCACTAAGGACAAGGTAGGTTTCTAATTAAATATCCAAGTTTGAAGCCACATGGAACATCTATAATAAGAGACTGCAAATTTGAACACATTTACTATGGTTTGGTGATTTTGTGATTTACCAGCTGTGGAGATAAGAAATATTTTTATGAATTTTTGTGTCCTTGACATGACCTCTAGCATAGTGTGGGTCCTGGAGGTGCTAGAGGAAATAAAATGATACCTTTTTTTGTAAGAATTTGTTTTTAAAAATCAAATAAAAACATGTTTACTCTGTCATTTAATTTGCAAATAAGGAGCCACTCCTGGCAGAATAGCAGTTAAAGATAACCAAACTCTCCTCTTACCAGTTGCAAAGTGCTGCAGTGCTCCTTGTGAGGGTGAAGGATTTAGGAAGTACCTGTAGATACTCCCCAGAATAGAACTGCAAAAACCTGGACTTGGGGGCTCACTTCCCCAAGCATACTGGTTTTCTTATATTTGTTCTCTACTTACTTAAGATCTGATGCATTGTCCTGACATGTTGCTTCCCACAAGGGTTACAGGTAAAGTTAAGCTGTTTCATTTCTAAATTGTAGGTGTTAATTGCCTTTTATTTTCTCTTTCAGACTCTCAGTTCAATCTTTAACATTGAGATGGTGAAAGACAAAACTGCAGAAGAAATAAAGCAGGTAATGAATGAAAATAGGTTGACATACTTTATGAAAATGTGTGCTCTGTGAACCAAATCTGAAAGTAGAAAGGAGCATACATTTCCTGACACCTCTTTCTGGCCATAGATAGCAAAAGTGATGAATTACATGGAAAAATAGTGGCATAAGAAAACTTGTCTTTCTTGGTCTCACTCCTGTATATATAATCAACTCACATTTCCCCTTTCTTTTTTATTCCTATTGCCCACATCTTATTTAAAATCATCACTACTTTATACCTAGATTACTATGATACCTTTCTAAATAGGTTTTCCTGCCCTTATTTCTCACTTCCCCTGTCATATCCTCACCAGTTGAATCCTCTTAATTAAAAGTTCCGCTTTCATTATGGAAAAGCATAATTTATTGGTTAAGAACACAGACTCTGGAACTAAGCTGCCTATTTTAAGTCCTAGCTCTGCCCACTTACTAGCTGAATGACTTTGATAAGTTAGGTAACCCTCAGAGTCTTAGTTTCCCTATCTGTAAAGTGGAGATAATAATAGTATTTACGCCATAGAATTATTTGGGGAATTAAACAAGTTAATATTTGTAAAGCACTTAAAACAGTTCCTGGCACTGAGCAAGTGCTATATTTGTATTTTTAAATAAATGAATAAAAATATTATGTTAGTAACCTGCTCACAAATGTTCGATGACTTCCCATATTCCTTTGCTTGGCATTCAGGGTCCTCCACTATTATAGGATTTTCTGTAGGAAGTTTCCTGAACACCTTCCTTCAAAGCACTCTTGATCTATTCTTCCTGTTTGGTCATTTCATTGCTATTTAAATGTTCATGTGCATGATTCTTTTCTCTAATTAGATTATAATATGCTACTTATGGGCATTCCTTATAGTTCTATGAATTGTATTTTAGGTATATTGAGAGAATCAGAATAATAAAAGCAGTATACCATGTGTCGGGCACTGTACTTAGTGCTTCATATGCACTACTTCATTAAATTCTCATGACCACTTTGTAAAGTAGGTGCTTTATTCCCAGTTTACCACTGAAGAAAATTTAACTTAAAGAGGTTAAGTAACTTAATAAGTGATAGAGCTAGGACTCAAACCCATGTCTGTTTACTCTGCATCATATTCCCTTATGGGAAGTTGTGCCAGTTGCCCTGGTTTTCCATTGAGTGTTAGATCATTCATTTCAGCAAGCATTTATTGAATACCTATTACATGTCAGGCTCTGTGCTAGATGAAAATAAATGAGAGAATCCCCTACTCTCAAGGAGCTTTAGCCTGGTGGAAGGACAGACACAAAAATAAGGACAGCACAGGGTTTTAACCTCTGTTAATAGAGGCTTATGCAAAGTCTCAAGGAACCCTCAGCTGCCTTTGGGAAGAAGTGCCAAAGGAAGGTGACACCAAGCATATCTTTTAGGGGAAAGAGAAGCCAGGCCCTGGAGTCCTCCTGATCATATGACAAATATCATTTAGACATATAATTTTAGATACAAATTTGTGTGTTTTTAAATAATTTTGAGTAACTAAGGTCAACTATATTGGGAAACATCTATCAGTCTTATGTATTTCAGTGTTGATTCATAAACTATCTGCTAATATAAACTAAATAAAAATAAGCAGATATGTTATCCTTAAAATGAGAAGACTGTGTTTTGACATGAAAAATAAAAGCAAAGCAACCTTAGGCTGTATTGATAGAGTGATTTGCCCAAGTCCTTTTGTGCTCTGTGTTGGCTAGATCACACTTTGTTAGTATCTTCAGTTAGGACCCCATTTTAATGGAAATGTTAACAAAGCAGAGCAGCTTTAAAGGAGGGTGACCCATTCTTCAGCACCAGCTGGGATGTCACCTTGGCTATGATGTCTTCCCCTGCTTCGATGCCTTTGCTAATGTTATCATTCTCTGCTTAGAATGTGTCTCTTATCTTCTACCCTACCTGTTTGTCATCCTAGACTTCCTATTCACCTGGCTAACTCCTGATCATTTTTCAGAATATACAACAAGTGTCCCCTCCTCTGGCACTCATTCCCTAACTTGGGTTAAGGGCCTCTTTGTTGCCCTCAGAGCACCTTGGCTTTGGTTTGCATTGTAATTCTGTTGTGCTAAGCACAAACCTACATTATTTTAACTCATCTTCACAACAATCCTGTGAGGTTGATACAATTGCTATTTTACTGATTGTTATATAGATATTATTTATTTTTCAGTAATTTGCCCAAAGTAGCACATCTAGCAAATGATTGGAGCTGGGATTTGTATCCAGGTCTGCCTTACTCCAGACCCTGGGTTCTGAGTGACTGATGTCCTACTCTCTGAGAAAGCCCACAATTGGCTAGGGAGTTTGGGTTTGGGGAAGGAAGAAAGAAGATAGGGAAAAAAAAAAAAAGAGCTTGTCTATTACACACAAGGCACGTCATGAGAAAAATGATTAACAAGGTCATAGAATCCATTTCTCTGACAGGAATTTGTTATTAAGAGTTACAGTTTAATCATCTAGAAGAGTAGATGGTATTAAATCTTTTTGTAATCATGTACTAGTAATAAAAGCATTGCGTTGGGTTTTCCTCTCTGTTATCAAATAGCATGTTACTGTGAGTAATGAAAGCTGTCATCATTTCTTGGTGCAGGTTGAAAAGATTACCCACATGTCACAGACATACTCTCTTTTTTGTACAGATTTGGCAGCAGTATTTTGCAGCAAAAGATACAGTCTACGCAGTTATTCCTGTAAGTAGTTTGGAGGGGAAAATGAGAGTGTTATAGCATGAAGGTCAGGTCTCTAACCTTAGCAGGCAGTTGCTTTTACTTTTCCTATGTTTATTGCCTCTTGAGAACTTACGTTTATAGCTCTGACGGTTTTTATTATGCCCTGAGTACCAAAGATTGGAAGCTCCATATGGTATATTTATGGCTCTTGTTTTCCCTCTTTCTGGCTTAGAAATGTCTCCTTTAGTCAAGTCTCTGACAAGGGAGCATGGTGTAAGTTCGTGTTGCTGAGCAATTTCCAAGTCTTTTATTTCTTTTTGGTATTTTCCAAGCTATTGGAATTTAACACAGGACCTCTAGCATAAGTTTCTTCCCTTCTTATCTATAAGTGACCTGTACGTGAGCTGACTTGGAGCCTTCTAATCTTTTTCTGGCATTTCCCCTTATCAAGTGGCATTTTCTTGTGGGTTTTTTGTTTGTTTGTTTGTTTGTTTGTTTTGCTTTGTTTTCCTTCTTGAAATTGCTGTTGTGGAGATAGTCACTGGCCACTGCTTGACCATTGCAATCAGCACTTGATGTACTGAGTTATCAACTAGTTCTTTAATTGTTCTTCTTCCCTGAAGAGGAAGTAGCCTACAGTAATACTGTTTATATCAAGCACATAAATATATACAAGCTTACATGTATAATTATAAGATTAAGGAGAAAAACTTATAGATGGAAAAATAAAGCCAGGCCTTTTGGTTATAGTGAGGGTATTGCTATTTTTTTCTACCTCTTATACATATATACCCTTGCCCTTCATAAGTTCAACAGCCAAAGGATCTGCACTTCTGTGATATTTTAGATCTCTAATACTGGCTTATTTGAATGGGGCTTTTTATCCTTCCCTCAGACAGACTTAGTAACCTGATGTCTCAGACAGTTGGCACAGTCCCCTGGAGAGTTTGAAGCATTTGGAGTATACACTGTTCACAGCAAATTCTGATACTGAACAGCAAAGAATACATCTGGTTTTTCCTGTCTGTCATGAGAGGCATTTGTAAATGATGAAACTTAGATTGTTTTAGTTGTAGTTTAGTTCTAGAGTTCAGTCTTGGTGAATTTAAGTGTGATTGCGGCCTTGTATGTGTTTTTGTTTGTGAACTTTATTCCTTTCTAACCTACAGGAAGAGAAGTTTGATTTGATCTGGAGCCGGGCTCAATCCTGTCCAACAGTAAGTTTCTGGATTGCTGACAAACAAGGATGTTTTCTAACCAATCTCATCATCTTCCATACTATCTCATGTTATAGTTCTATTTATTTAACAAAGATGATGATATGTTGATTGTACTGATAAATGAAGTTTTTAGCCTTGTAGCATCATCTGAGTTTTGTCCAGTAAGTCTCTGGCTTGTTAGATACATCTCAGCCCTTTCTGATAAGGATCTTAATCAACAGTATAAGTAAATGTTGGATGCAGCACCTGAGACCATAATATTTTCAACTTTCCTTAAGTGTCTGTTTTATTAGCAGTTTTCTTGTCAGTTTTGGCCATGCTATGCTGATTATATGTACCTAAAAGGAATTATGAGACTGTTGCTATAGTAATGAGTTACCAGAAGACCTAAGGGAAGGGGAAAGGTGAGGTGGACCAGCTGACTTGGTGTTGGTAATAATTTCTATGATTCTCAGAAAGAAAGAAAAAATTCCAAACATTACCAAGAGAAAATAAAAAACATTTAAGTAAATGGAGAGATATACCATGTTCATGGACTGGATGACTCCATATTGTTGTCATTTCTCCCCAAATTGATCTCTAGAATATAACCCCAATTAAAATCCCAATAGACTTTTTTTAAAAGAAGTTGCCAAACTGATTTTAAAAATTTATTTGGATATCCAAAAGACCTAGACTAACAAAACAATTTTGAAAATGGGCAAAGTTAGAGGATTTACATTACCTCATTTCAGGACTTATTGTAAGCTATAGTAATGAAGACCTTATGTGATAAAAATAGACATATAGACCAATGGAATAGAGAATCCAGAAATAGACCAACATATATGTGGTCAGTTGTTTTTCAGCAAAGGGGCCAAGGTAATTAAATGGGAGAATGGATATTATTCTTACCTCATACCATATCCAACAATTAACTCAAAATAGAGTATAGAATCTTAGTGATCTTGGGTTTAGCAAAGATTTCTTAAGTACATTACAAAAAGCACAAACTATTGAAAGAATCGATAAATTACATTTTATCAAAATAAAAGTTTTCTACTTTATACTCATGTTCACAGCAGCATTAGTCACCATAGCCGAAAGGTGGAAGCAATCCAAATATCCATTGATAGATGAATGGATAAATAAAATGTGGATGTGTGTGTATGTATATATATGTATGTATATAAAATAGAATATTATTCAGCTTTAAAAAGGAAGGATATTCTTACACATGCCACGATGCATATGTACCTTGAAGATATTATGCTAAGTGAAATAAGCCAGTCACAAAAGGACAGATACTGTATGATTCCACATATGTGTGAGGTACTTCGTTGTAGACAAATTTATAGACAGAAAGTAGAATAGTGGTTGGCAGGGATGACGGGGAAAGGAAATAGGGAATTCTTTTTTAATGAATATGGAGTTTCAGCTTGGGAAGGTGATAAGAATGTAAAATGGTACAACCACTTGGAAAACAGTGTGGCGGTTTCCCTATTATTTATTTATTTATTTATTTATTTACTTTTTGCTAATCCTCACCCGAGGATATTTTTTCCATTGCTTTTCAGAGAGAGAATGGAAGGGGGGGAGAGGGGGAGAGAGAGAGAAACATGTGAGAGAGACACATCCATCAGTTGCCTCTGGCTCACACCCCAGTCAGGGTGGGGTAGAACCTGCAACCCAGGTAGGTACCCTTGACCAGGAATCGTGGTCTGCAGGCCAACGCTCTAACCACTGAGCCAAACCGGACAGGGGATGTGGCAGTTTCTTTAAAAGTTAAGCATATACCTGCCATACTACCTGGCCATTCTACTACTAGATATTTTCCCAAGAGAACTGAAAGCACATGTACGTACAATGATTGGTACACAAATGTTCATAGTAACCTTATTTATAATAACAAAATACTGAAAAATACCCAAATCTATCACAGGTGAATGAATAAAAGAATTGTTGTATGTGTGTACATATATACAATGGAATAATATTCAGGAATTGAAAGGAAAGAACTATTGATATATGCAACAACATGGGTAGATCACAAAATAATTATGCTGAATGAAAGAAGCCAAACCAAAAAGAAGTACAGGTTCTGTGGTTCCGTTTATACAAAATTCTAGAACATGCAAGCTGACGGTAGTGACAGAAACCAAATCAGTGGTTGCTTAGGGACAGCTGGGGAGAAGGTATTAATTACAAAGGGACTTTTTGAAGATGATGTTCATTATGTTGATTGTGGTGATGGTTTCATAGTATACATATATTAAAACTCATCTAATTGAGTGCTTCTGATATGTGTAACTTCTTATACTTCACGTATACCTCAATAAAGCTCTTTTTTTTTTTCTCCTAATAAGGGGCCAACTACTAGATAGGCACTGAGGTTATCTTATCTAATAATAATAAAACAGCCTGAGTGGCTGGCAATAAGGAGACAATTCCATGACTGATGCATGTTGAACTGATTATACTTTATATTCTCGCATCATTCTCTCCTCCACCACTCATCCCCAGTTCTAAACATCTCAAGCATAAGACTAATCATTTCTTGGTGTTTAGAGCTGCAGTATCAGCCTCAGATGACAGAGTATGAACTGATTACAGTAAATGGAACAAAAAGTTAATTCAGCAGCATTAGGAAGTTTAGAAATTGAAAAAACCCAGATGTTCATCAATTGAAGAATAGATACATTTTGGTAAACTTCTGTAGTAGAATTCCATACAACAGTGAAAATAATGAGTTATAGTTGTCTATGTGGATAAATCTCAGAGGTATAATGTGAAGTGAAAAAAGCAAGTTGCAAAAGTATACATATAGTTTGATAAGATTTATGTTTCAAAACATGCAAACAGTACTGTTACTTGTTTATGGATATGCACATACACATTAAAAGTATATAAACCTGAAAGGGAATGGCAGTCAGCAAATGCAGGATAGATGTTACTCTGCAGTGGGATTGGAATGGGTTACATAGAGCTTCAGTTGGATATCTAATGTTTTCTTTCTTAGGTGGGTTGGGAAATGTATGTATGTTTGTTACTTTACTATGCATGAATTTCATAATTTTAAAAAATGTTTTCAATCAAACATTGAAGAAATGGAGTGAATGATACAGGTGGTTGGACATAGAGGAAATGATTTTATTTATTCATCTACCTCCTTGTGTGTTTGTTTCCCACAGTTTCTGTGTGCACTACCAAGAAGGGAAGGCTATGAGTTCTTTGTAGGACAATGGTCAGGCACTGAACTCCACTTCACTGCACTTATAAATATTCAGGTAGGTGGCTTATGCTCATCCCTGAGAGGAAAGAGGCCTACGCCTTTGTGGGTCCATGAGCCCTTGCTGAGGCTTGAGGACACAGAATATCTACTGACCCTAGCAATACTTAGATATTGATAATTAAAAGGACTCTTGCTGAAAGTTTAGAGATGGAAACCAGAGATCTTTTTTGAATGTCTAGTTATTTCCTCCAACAGTTTATGAGGACTTTAGCTTTGAACCCAGACTGTCTTCCTAGATTGGGTTGGGGTCTGGTAACCATTCCCTGTCCATTCTTCATGAAATTATGATGCTCTCATTCTTTTCCCCCTACCCCTCACCCACATTGTACTTTAAAACTGCATATTACAAATCTGGCCCATGTGCAAACTCTCCAGCTGTTTGCTACAGCTTAAAAGAGCTCAGTCTTCAGAGCCAGCCAAGGGGAGTAGATTTCAGCTGTGAGATGCACTAGTCCATAAAAGTGGCAATTACACAGGCATATTGCTTTCTTTAGAACTTGATTTGGTAGCTGCTTGTGCCGTTTTGTTTTTAAATATATGGCCATGATGAAGGATTCACTGCCTACTGTAAACATTTTCTGGGAAAAGAGCCAAACCTTTTTCAATCGAAGACACAAATAACACTGTGCAAACTGTCACTTTCACCGTGCCGTAGCAGGCCTGACCATCCCCACACACACCAGTCCTCTGACTCACTAGACACCCTCGGGGCTGGTAAGAGTCAGAATTTCCTCCAGACTCTCTGTTGCTCTGAAATTGCAGTTTTGTTGTGGTACCTTATTGAGTCTTGATAAGTGTTCCTCCTTACAGACCCGAGGGGAAGCTGCGGCCAGCCAGCTGATTTTATATCACTACCCTGAACTTAAGGCAGAAAAGGGCATAGTACTGATGACAGCAGAAATGGATTCTACATTTCTGGTAAGAATCAACTTTTACCTCTTTGGATTTACCTGTTAACCCTGAAGGTAGTATTCTTAGGCAAAAGCTCAGGAGAGATAAAATTCAAGAGATCTACATGTATTTGTTTCTTACTCAAAGTTGACAATAACAACGTCTTGCTCAAGCTCTTCCAAGTTGAAGTTAGTACAGATCTTCAACCACTCTAACAGTTGTGAAGTCCAGATGCTCTAAAAACATTCTGCACCTATTACCTTTCTAAAATTCTGACGTGAAAACACATCAGGCCCTTGGGGTTGTAGATAAGAAACTGGACAAGTAAAAGGCTTTATCTTAAGTGCAGGGAAGAATGCAAAGTCTAGACTAGTTTTCAATCTTTTATCATCCACACTGTTCATATGCATAACATTCCTCGTACATAGTGATTTCTCTGCCCCTTTTCCCATTCCCTGGAGAGAGCATCAAAGATCAACCATATGCCCATAGGTAGTGATATCCATTGTGTTTGTTCTCTCTGTGTATCCAGGGCCAGGAGCAGTTTTATAATTACTGTACAACCTGTTTGTTTAGCCTTTGCTCATTTTAGTCTCATTTATCTGACAGCATTTAAATTCAGGATGTCCTCAAGATACTGGCCACTTTCATGCCTCTTTTCCCTGAGATTTTTCTTTACAACACCCACTATTTTTCCTCTCTCTTACCAGCTACAGACTAGCATTTCAGCTAGTATTACAGTAGCAGCAAGTCCCAAGTTTTGGACACAGTTGGGACACTACTTCCCAATCTAGTATTCCTGAACCTGTTCTGTCCCCTTTCTCCTCTTCTTTCTTCCACCCATCACACTCAACTGGAAGTTACCCAAAATCCCATCCAGAAGAATGGAGTTGCCATTAACTGAGATAGACAGGATTGCAGGAGGAAAAGGTTCGGAAGGAAGATCAGGAGCTCAGTCGTGGGCACATTAAATCTGAGATGCCTATTAGATTTGCAAATAGTTAGACAGTTAAATATATGAGCCTGGAGTGCGGAGGAGAGGTCCCGGCTGGAGGTGTAAATATGGGAGTTGTCAACATGCAGACTGCTATTTAAAGCCATGAGACTGAATGAAATCACCAAGGAAATAAATGGAGATGGAAAAGGGAAGAGGTCTGAGAACTGAGCCCTGTGGAAATGAGGAAGCATCGGCAAAGAAGATTTAAACAGGTGATGTAGGTAGAAGACTAAGATGGTAGAATGCTCTGGAAGCTGAGATACAATGTTTCAAGGAATCGGGAGTGCTCAGCTAGCCAAATCTCACTTGCTGGTAGGGAAAATGAGATGAGGACTGAGGATTTACTACATTTCACAAATGGACGTCATGGGCGACCTTTTACAGGACATTTCAAAAGGAGCAGGATAAACACATACTTAGAGTGCATTTAAGAGAGTATGGGAAGAGAAGTTAGCCCAGCCAGCGTGGCTCAGTGGTTGAGCATCAACCTATGGTCCAGAAGATGGCGGTTCGATTCCCAGTCGGGGCACATGCCTGGGTTTTGGGCTCAATCCCCAGTGGGGGGCATGCAGGAGGCAGCCGATCAATGACTCTCTCTGATCATTGATGTTTCTATCTCTCTCTCTCCCTCTCCCTTCCTCTCTTTGAAATCAATAAAGATACATTTTTTTAAAAAAGAAAGAAAATGAAAAGACATCTATGTAATACTTTTTTAAAAAAGAGAAATTTGAGTAAATATAAACAAGTCTTTGAAAGGGTTTTCTTTGAGGGGAAGGAGAGAATGGGGGCAATAGCTGGAGGGAGAAGTGGGAATGAGTGTTTTTTGTTTTGTTTTAAATATGGGAGAAATATTTGTATGCTGATGGAAAGGTCAAGTAGAGATGGAAATATTGATAATGTGTAGAAAGAGGAGAGACATGTCGAAGTGAGATTTTTGAGTGGGTAAGTCTGGGAATGAGAAAAATATAAAAACGGGAGATGTCAGGATATAAGGACACAAATACAGTTAAATGGCTAGAGGTGGTAGTAGCCTGTAGGATAGAACAGCTAAAACAGAGGTGAGGGGCCCGGGGCACCTCCACAAAGCCCCTAGGACTCTGCTGTTAGAATAGCATTGTTCTAGAGTGCGCACAGCTGAGATAACCCCCACCTCCACCATCCTAAGCCTCAAATAAAAATTGATTGTCAGAGGCCCTGCAGTTCAGGGGCTCAGGGAATGGTGATATCTGCCTCGGATTATGGCACTGCACTTGCTTTAGAAATGGTTTACTCTCGAGGCATGTTTGAGTATAAAAAGGTAAAATTGATAAAGCAGAGTTAATGACCTTGATCGATTTTAATGATCTTGCCCTACCAGAAACAGTATCAGGGTGAAGTGGAGGGAGTACCAGCCTGGGAGTCCAGAGGTCTGCTCCTTTCTCTGCTCCTTGCTAGTCACATGATCTTGGGCCTATCCCTGGACCTCATCTGCTTTGGTTTCCTGGCTTATTAAATGAGGACTGGGTGATCTCTGAGGCCTCTTCCAGCTCTGAAATTCTATTAATTTGAAATAGACAGCAATTTGGAAAAAGGCTTTTGATTGAAGATCCAGTCTCCGAGATTAGTGCCTGCTTGTGAGAAAATGACCTGAAAGCCCCACAGGAGGGAGTGGAGATAAAGTGGCCTAGAGTATTTATAACCCATCTTCATCATTCCATAGCTAGACATAGTGCACTCTTGACAGTCAGTTTTACGGGGAACTTTCCATTATCCTTTGGGGTTGGGTTTTGGCTGTAGGAACATAATGATAATGAATAAATGCCTCTGACTAGCTAGAACTATAGAATGTACAGATAGCAAAAGTAAGAGTTGTTTGAAGTAACTCTTTTGTAAGGTTTCAAGAATTTAGCCAATGTCCTGACCCCACCTCTGTTACATAGAGCGGTCTGCCATTTCCCTGCCTCTGAGCTTTTCAGAAGGTGGCCCCTTTTCTTACCTGGGGCTCTGCTGGTGCATTAGTTGTTAGTTAGAAATGGCTGCATAGCAAATTACTCCAAACTTAGTGGCTTAAAACAAAAATTTATTACCTCATGATTTCTGTAGGTTAGGAATTCAGGAGCAGCATAGCTGGGTAGTTCTGGTTCAGTCTCATGACGTTGCTGTCAAGATGTTGGCTAGGGCCACAGCCATCTGAAAGCTGATTGGGCTTGAGGATCTACCTCTCACCCCACTCATGGCTGTTGGCAGGAGGCCTCGTTTCCTTGCCATGCTGGCTTCTCTGTAGGGCTACTTAAATGTCCTCATGACATAGCAATTGAATTTCCCAGGGCAAGTGATTCGAGAGAGAGCAAGACAGAAACTACAGTGTCTTTTGTGATTAATAGCAGAAGTCATTCTCCATCATACCACTGCAGTCTGCTGGAAGCAAGTCAGTAAGTACATCCTGCACTCAAGGAAAGGAAACTAGGGTCCATCAAGGGAGAGTGTCCTAGAATCTGTGGACAAAATGTAAAACTATCACAGCTGGCTTTGGCACTAGTTTTCTGACTGAGGTGGTATTAGGAACAGGTTTTATTTGAGTATGTCTGGTTAGTTAGGAACTTAGTACTCACACACTAGTGCTTGGAGCTGGGTAACTATTGTTGTTTTTCCCCCCCTTGAAATATACTTAACAGTTATAAAGGAACTGAATGAAGAGGGAAATTTTGAGCATATGCATTAATTTATTCAAATATTCACCAGATGTCACTATGTGCAGGGATGTGAAACAAGCACATATACTTTAGAGGAATTATACTAGAGAAGATAGACAAAAAAAGAAAAGGAAAAAGAGGACAAATACAGTAAAGTATGATAAATACTGTGATAGAGGTAAGCATGGGGTAATTTGGATGCATAGACGGGGGGCACCTAAGACTTCGGAGACCAGGGAGTTGGGAAGCTTCCTAAAGCAGTGTCTCCTGGGAGAGGGCCCACTCGCCACAGGAACTCAAAAACAGAGCATTGCGGTCCTGTGCAGGGAGGGACCTCACCATTCTTTTTACCTTCCAGAATGTTGCTGAAGCACAGTGCATTGCCAACCAAGTTCAGCTCTTCTATGCCACTGATCGGAAGGAGACCTACGCGTTAGTGGAGACCTTTAACTTCAGACCAAATGAATTCAAGTATATGTCTGTCATCGCTGAACTGGAGCAAAGTGGACTTGGAGCGGAACTGAAATGTACCCAGAACCAGGATAAGACTTAGAGCTATAAGGGTTGGCTCCTTACAGAGTCTGCTCAGCCCTGGATAGTCTAGAGCCCACCCACCCCCTTGAACTCTCAGGAGCTCAGCATCTATAATGTGCAGTCTCTAAGGAGTTGCCCTGTGTGTTTATGCAAGAAGTAATCATGGAGGTGAGCCCTATTACTTGATATTCAGGAACAAAGGCAGCCAAACATTCTGATAATTATCACTCAGCATACTTGAGGTTTCCTTTTTAAGTATTTGACGTCATAATCAGAGACAGCCAAGGATCTGCAGGATGGTTGACTTGATTTTACACACTAACATTTTCTTACAAGTGCATTTGCATTCTGGACATTTTGACTGCATAGCTCCCAAATGCACATAGTTCCTCATCTTTATAAATTTGTGATAGGATAAGCTTGAAGACCTGCTATAGTTAGATATGGGCTCTAGGTATTCTTCCCATGTGCCAGTTATCTGGCCAAAAGCATAATCCAAGTATCCTATTTAGACTCTAGAACAACCAGATATTGCAATCAGGATTAAGCCTTCATCTAGATGCTCCCAGAGTTGCCTTTAATGTAGCTGGCTTGAAGCATCAGTAGATTTCAGGTAAACTTAAACACACAGGTACAGTGCCTGCGTATTTTTAAACCATGGTCTGTGGCATCTGCTGCTCTAACTTGCCTTTTAGAAGCTGTGTATTTGGAGGGGGTGAATCAGTGCAGTGTAAATAAATCAACTTTTTTGTAAGGAAGGATCAGTCCAGATTTGCATGTTTTTGTGTTATTGGCTTTTTTAAAAAACTCTAAGCCATGCTAGTATTATATGAAAAAGTGGGTGGAAGCAAATGTTCCCACTTTGGGTGTGGAGAAAATACAGCAATAAAATGAAATCCGGTTTACAGTATTTGTTACACTCAGCAGTGGAATCTAAGCTATTTGCTGTCTATAGGGTCATTGCTATGAGCTGATTTGATCAAAACTCATCTTTGGAGTCAGTAGTTGCTTGAAACACCAAAAATGAGAAAGGAGCTCTTCAGTTCCATGTGGTTTGTAGTATCACTGTTGTGGCTTCAAGATCAGTGATAGAGGAGGGTGGTGGTTACACACCAGCCTTCGGAACCTGAGATCCCAGCCCCAATGCCCACCATTATCATTGTCACCTTCCTTACTACACCTTTCTTATTCTTGCTCTGACATGCTCCACTTTGTCTGCTGCGGCCTGAGATCTGGTTGTATGACACTGAATATGGTGAGTGGGAATGGAACCAGTAGTTACAGTTCCTGTGTATGTTTGTTTTCTTCATTACAGGTTGGGCCTATCCCCAAGCTCTTTAAAAAGGGTTGGACTTCCCATTATTTTCTCAGCTATGTCTTTTTTGTTGTACCTCTGAGTCTGTATAGAAAGAGACAGACAGTGTTTGTTTAACCTGGAAAAGCTGCTAGCAAGCCTTTCACAATTTCTCTAATGACTGAGCTGTTTGCTAACGCAAATTCTGGACCTTCCTCTGGTCCTGACAGTTCACATTTTGAGAAACTCGGATCTGGATGTTTTGAGTCCCAGGAATCTTTAGTATCTGTTGGAGTTGCTATTGTGGGTATCCAGCTATGTTTGTTTTCCCATCTGGCCAGTTCCTAGCCTTAGAACATTTTCATAACACCTCCACCAGAGGGTGAGAAAATGATGGGGAAAGAAATAAGGACTGGCTGCTCATTTTACTGTTCCTCCCATCTTTACCCTATATCCCCTCTTGCCAAGGAAGGCTTTGTCCATGGATAGTTACATTAGACGTGATCAAAGGACCATCTGGCTGTTCTTTATATTTACCTAGCAAGATCTGGCAAAGAACTAAAAGAACATTGTAACATTAGTCAGTAAATTTGTCTGCTGGAGCAAAATGGTGTTATAGAAAGTGGACAGGCTTTAGAGTTAAATGAGTTCAGATGTCAGTGTTGCAATTCATTAGCTCTATAATATTGAAGAAATGACTTAAACTATAATTCTGCTTCTTCATCTATAAAATAAGGATGATAACAATAATATCTACCTCATAGGATTATTGTGAGAATTAAATTAATTTATAGACTAAGGTAGACTTGCTTAATGTCACCTCCCTTTCTCTTGTCTACTTCCCCTGCCTGTCATTAAAGACCAGCACAAATTAACATTTCAGATGTGCAGATCATTCTTCATTCCAGTTGAACAAGCAAACCTTATCTTTCAGGTTCTCAAGCTTTAAGTGGAAGCAGAATTACCTTGAGCACTTCAAAATGCAGATTCCCAAGTCCCAAACCTCAGCCTGCTGAATCATAATCTTTGCAGAGATTTTGTGCTGGGAATCTGCACTTTAATATGTGCTCCATATTATTTAGATGTAGGTAATTCACCAGCCACACTTTGAGAACCTGGCCTTATGCGTTCTTCACAAAAAATGCCAGGTCTTCCTTTCCTATGGACATTAACTGTAGAATTGGATTCCTCTGTCCTTTGCCTCCTGTAGTGGTTCCCTTTGCATAAATTATATTTATTTATTTATGTATCTTTTGCCCTCACTAAGACTGTGAGCTCCTTGAGGGCCAGGCTTTATCTCCATTCCCAGTGCCAAGGACATGGCCTGGAACATAGAAGACGTTTGTTGAATAAATGACTGACATGGATTTTAGCCAAAATGTTATCTTGTGTGTGTACCTATATTTAAATACTCTGAATTTAAGAGAATCTCTTAACACACTTAGATCGAGAACTTATTGAGTAGGAATATTCGTAATCCAAGGAACCAAATTATACACAAAGTCTCTGTAAGTCACCGGTCTGCTGGGCTGTCTGCTCAGTACCATTCAGTAGTTGCTCACAGAGCACCTGCTCCGCCAGTCACACTAGGTGCTCACACAGAGGATGGGTAGGATCATCCCTGCTCTCAAGCTCTGTTCCAGCCACTGCTGTGTCTCTCTGGCCTCTGATTCTGGGCCCCACATCTAGCACCTCGTCATAGTTTGCCTTGTCTTGTTCTCAGGAGGTTTATGCTGCTACTTCTTTCTTCTCCAACCAGTTTGGAAGCAGTAGCCACATGTTCTTTTGTTTGTTTCAGTCTCCATAATACTGACCTTTTGTTCCGCCTTGGAGAAGAGGTACAAATGCCTCCTTCCCCAGTCCTTTGATTTAGCACTGACTCAGCATTCATTAATATTTAGTGGGCACCTGTTTTATGCCAAGCACAGGTATAGGTAGCTGGGGAATAAAGCAATAAGCAGGAAAAATAAGGCCCTGTTGTCATGGAGTTTATACGCTTGTGAAGAAGACAAATGAATAACAGGTTATTTCAGATACTGATAGTGCCACGAAAATAAAATAATGTGCTAGAATGTGGAGTGGAGGCAATAACTTCATGGTCAGGAGAGCCATCTCTGCAGAAGTGACAGCTGATACTTGAGTTGAAGAAAAGTACCAGGTAAAGAGAACAGCAAGTGCTGAGGCCCTGAAGCAGGCTAAGCTCAGCGTGCTTGCTTCTGGGCCCAGATTTAAAGGTCCAGTCCTTGCCCTTGAGGAGCTTGAAGTTCAGCAAGGGAGACACTGACATGAATAATTACAATATGAGGCAAACTGACCAGTGCCATCTCAGAAGAGGGGCAAGAAGGGTTGAAGAACACACCAGAGCCCTGGCCAGTGTGGCTTGGTTGGGCATCGTCCCGTGCACCAAAAGGTTGCAGAAAGGTTGCCGGTTCTATTCCTGGTCAGGGCACATGCCCAGGTTGAGGGCTCGCTCCCCAGTAGGGAGCGTGCAGGAGGCAGCTGATCAATGTTTCTCGCCATCTCCCTCTCTCTAAAAATCAATAAAAATATTTTAAAATAAAATAAAAAAAGAACACTACTAGTACTGTGGGGGATGCAAATCTTTGTAGACCACAGTACCTGACTTGAAACACTTGAGGAGATTAGATCTTGATTGCCAAGGACCCTTCCCCTTTAAAAGCCACCCCTCCGTGACCTGTTGCTCTTTAATGATCATCTGCAGTCTAAGGAGCTATAAAGTGGGACACTGGGGCCTGGTGAAAGTTCCTCAAAAGACTGAGACCTTTGTCATCACCCACAAAGCAAGGGCAAGGTCTGCTCCTAGCCCAAATATAGTGCCTGACATCTAATGAGTCCTCAGTAAATACTTATGGAATGAATGAATGAAACAGATGTGCTGTTTCCACCCAACCATGCTGTCTCTCTAAGATGTTAAAATCTATATTAATTTACTACTACTATTAGTAGAAGACATCACCCTGGCCCTCTGGGAGGTCCCCCATTTTTACCTCACCCCACAAGTAATATGGGGACCAGAAAGAGGTTGCCTTAGTCTATTCCGGTTGCTATAACAGAATACCATAGACAGGTGATATAAACAACAGAAATTTATTTTTCACAGTTCTGGAGGCTGGGAAGTCCAATATCAAGGCGCACACAGGTTCAGTGTCTGGTGAGGACCTGCTTTCTGGTTCATAGAAGGGCCATCTTCTAGCTCTGTCATCACATGGCAGAAAGGGAAGGGAGCTCTCCGAGGCCTCTTTTATGAGAGCACTAATCCCATCACCTCCCAAAGGCCCCACCTCCAAATACCATTGTACAGGGGATTAGGTTTCAATGTGAATTTAGGGGGACACAAATATTCAGTCTACAGCAGAGATTCCCAAACCTTAGTCTTCTTATAAATATCACTGGGGACCTTGCTTAACCAGCAGCTTCCTGTGCCCATCCCAAAGATACTGAAATAAAATCTCTATAAAGAGAGGCCCTGCCTTTTGTGTTTCCTTTTTGAAACATTTTATTGTTGACATTTTCAAACATATGCTAAAGTAAAACCAATAGTATAATGAACCCCAAGTCCCTAGTACCCAACAAAAATTTTTCAACACATGACAATCTGGTTTCATTTAGATCCCCACCCACTTTCCCAGACGTCATATTGTTTTATCCATACATACCTCTGCTTATATTTCTAAAGGATAAGTACTTTTAAAAAAACAAAACATTCCTAAATTAATTAACAGTAATTTCTTAATATTATCAAACATGCAGTCATATTCAAATTTCCCCAATTATCCTATAATTTTTTTTTTTTACAGTTTTGTTCAATCAGGAACAAAAATGAGGATCCGAACGAGATCCACACCTTACAACTAGATATTTCTGAAACCTTTTTTTAACTTTTATTTTTAAATAATTTTAGGCTCACATAGAAGTTGTAAAAATAATACAGAGTTCCCAGGTACCCTTCACTCAGCTTCCTCCAGCGGTAACATATAATAACCATAATATAATTATCAAAACCATGCAACTGACATGCATACAATACAAATCAAACTATAGACTTTATTTGGATTTGGCAATTTTTATATGCACTCATTCTTTATTTTTTCCTTTTGTTTATAGTCCTATGAAATTTTGTTACATGTATAGGTGTGTGGAACCACAATCAGGATGCTATCACCCAAAGAAGAAAGTCCCTTGTGCTACATATGCCTTTTAGTCAAACTCTCCTCCTCAACCCTAACTCCTGGCAACCACTGATCTGCTCTCCATCACTATAATTTTGTCATTTGAGAATGTGTTTAATGAAATCATACAGTATGTACTCTCTTAAGATTGAATTTTTTCACTTGGCACAATGCCTTTGAAATGCATCCAAGTTGTTATAAGTGTTAATAGCCAGTTTGTGTTTTTGCTGAATAGTATTCCATATTAAGGCACTTTTAACTTACAGGTTTTCCCTCATCTCTTTTGTTTTGTTGACATTTATGTGTTAAGAATCTGTCCTATAGTTTTTGTCATTCTGGATTTTACTGATTTCATCCCCATAGTGTCATTCACTTGTCCCTCTATTCCCAGTCCTTCCTGTATTTGATAGATCTCCAGGCTTGGTCAGAATCAGATGGCACTCTATAAGGAGCCCCACCCCCACTGGTGACTCTAGGGCAGGCGTTACTGAAAACACTTGGAGAAAGGATGCTGTAGAGAGGAAGGAAGAAAGTGCCCTGGGGACTGGGGTAGTCTGAGGAGGGTTTGAACTGGGGTGCTGCTCCAGGCAGGCAGCCCCAGAGGCTGAAAGTGAGGCACCACAGTGGCAGAGGAGGTAGGGTTGGACAGAACTTCCTGTGCAGGCTTCATGGTGGGTTCCGTGAAGGCTGAGCCTGGGACACTCGCAAAACTGCCCGCCAC